CTATAGAAGAAGAATGAAATTTTGCCTTTTGCAGCAACATGAGTAGACTTGGAGGGCATTATACTAAGTGAAATAAGTCAGAGAAAGACAAATACTGTATGATATATCACTAATATGTGGAATCTAAAAAGTACAACAAACTAGTGGATATAACAAAAAAAAAAGCAGACTCCCAGATCTAGAGAACAAACTAGTGGTTACTGAGGAGGAGAGGCAAGGGAGAGGCAACACTGGTAGGGGATTAAGATGTTTGTATGAAATATGCTACAAGGCTATATTGTACAACATGAGGAATATAGCCAGTATTTTATGATAACCATAAATGGACTATAACCTTTAAAAATTGTGAATCACTATACTGTACACCTGAAACTTATATAATATTGTGCATCAACTATACTTCAATTAATAAGAAAACCCAGTACAGTTTCCAGTTTCTAGCAGCCTTTTATCTTTTACATGTTTTTTCTCTTCTGAGGTGCTCACTTCTTCCCTCCGTGCTGGTTCTTAGACATCCTGATTTGTGGGGGGCTGTGATTATCCTCTTGTGCTCCCATCAGTGTTCCTCTTGACCCCACACTCTCACACCTCCCCCTACTTCCTGTCCAGTTGTTTTTTAAGACTCTCTGATCCAAACAGGTGCAGGAACTTGGCTAGGGGGAGAGGTGAGCGCCTGACCACCTCAGAAAGCCCGGACGACATCTGGGCTCTAGAGGCGGGTGTCCAGTTTTCTAGCAGCTGCAGACCTTGGGTTTCAAAATGGAGGCATACCAGAGACATGAAGGGTTTTTTGGTCCCTCCTCTGGTCATCTCCATTTTTTTCCCCAACTATCTCCATCAGATTCGTAGGTGGTGAATATTCTTCCGCACCTGGCATGAGGTTGATGCATTGTTGACAGTCTTTCCTTACCTGCATCTTCGTAGGTTTTTAGGATGAGTTTGGGAGAGGTTGCAAAATCTTACACCAAAGTTCCCCCAAGTCTCCTGTCCTTCCGCACAGCTGGTGACTTTATGGGTTATGTTAAATAAACTTTCTTAGATTGTGAGTAAGTTTTTCCTTTTCACATCTCTTCAAAAAACTTTATTTTGAAATAAGAATAGATCCAGAGGAAGTTGCAGACAAATGGGGTCTTGTGCACCCTTCACCCTGCTTCCTCCAGTGCTGCATAACCGTGGTACAATAACAGTGTCAGGCCACTGGCATTAGTACAATGCACAGACCATCCTCAGATCCCACCAGTTATACCTGGGCACGTGTGTGTGTGTGTGTACACATTCCTGTGATTGTACCATGTGTGTAGTTTCATGGAACTACCGCCACAGACACAGAACAGTTCCATCACTCAAAGGCTTCCTTGTGCTGCCCCTTTATAGCCACACCCCCTCTCCTAGCCCCTTAACTCTCGGCAACCACTGACCTGTGCTCCGTTTCTCTCATTTTGTTATTTCAAGAATGTTCGATAAATGGAGTCATACAATATCCAGCTTTTGAAATTGACATTTTCCTCCCCTCAACATAATTCTCTTTCACTCTTCCTGAATTGGATAAATTGGCTTAGTTTGGTATTAATGTGATGTAATAGTCAGGAAACACCAAGCCTTTAAAAATTATCACGATTGAAGTTTAAGTACCACACACACACAAAAGTCTAGAGCTCATAAGGGGTGTGACTCATTGGGTTGTCACCTACACCGCTCCCATGTAATGTGAATGAACCATTATAACTGTGATTTGGATCAGAGATAGAACATGACCAGAACCTCCGATGCCTGCCTTCTGCTCTTCCTCAAAGATAACCACTGGCAGAGGTTCCTTTTGCTTCTTTTGAACTTAATCTTCATGGAATCATACACTGTATTCTCTTTGTGGCTGGTTTCTCTCACTCAGCAGTACGTTTATGAGATTCGTCTGTGTCACCATGGAGTGCTGTGGCTTATTTATTTTCATTGGTTTCTAGGATTCTACTACATCACTCTTCCACAGTTTATTAATTCATTCTCATATTAGTGGACATTTGAATCATTTTCAGTGTTTGGCTATTACACATCTAGTAATATGCTAGGATAATTCTTGCATGAGTCT